CCCCCCCCCCCCCCACCCCCCACCCCCCTCCAATTTATGGCACACTGGTGTTGCCTTGATGTAGTATCGCATTTTGTCTTCTTCCGTATCCATTAATAGTATTTACTGATCGATATAGTGTGTTTAACAGCCTATTACAACACTTTCATTTGTTGGGAAGTCGTCATATCTCGTCTCTGCTTCACGAGGTGCAGACCCACTGTTGACAATGTGGAGTATGTCGAAGCTGTGTACAATTTGGTCGTACAGGCTGCATGCAGAGGGTGAGTATCCTGTTTTCTCCAAGGGAATCATTTATTAACAAAAACGTGGTTATTTATTACGATACTTAAATCTTTTTGTCACTATGTTTATCATTTGTAAGAAGTATGCATAACATTGACCAACTTTTCCTTTTAGTTTCTTCAATATGGTTTTTTTTTTTTTGGGTGCAGCTATTGCCTCTTCGATGCTCAATTCCACATTTGCTGTTCTTGCTCCATCCAAGTTATTGAAAAGTACGGGGTCTACTGCAGGCACATCACAGGGTGCAGAAGGGGCAATCTTGCTATTCAATGCAGAAAACCCGGTGCCCTTCGCTACGTGGTCTGTGAGCAAGGTCCGCAGCTTCTTCTTTCAACTGTTTAGCCTTAAGAATAACTAGTGGATTTACAAAACATGGCATTTTATATTGATGAGATAGAAAAACAGCAAATTATTTTTTATCTTAATCTTGAACATTCTCATGCTACAGGCTCAGGGTGGAAGACTTTCTTTTATCCAGTCAAGTCCTTTCTCAGACAATGATGTGGCTGACACAACAACAGCTGGTGAATTACTCGCTTATGTCAGTGGTTGCCATGAATACGTTGTGTTGAGCCCACATGGCGATCAAGATAGTAAACTCAGCATTTCTCGTCGACGAAATTCCAGTAGCCTTGATGAAACAGGTGAGACTTTCTTCTGTTACAGCACAATCAAGTTCAGATTAAAACTGAGAATATATTTTGTGAATAAACATGTGTATATAGACACCACAGACAGCGATGTATCTTAGTTCATTAATGTGGAAATATTCAACTTTTCTTTGAGCAGAGAGATTCGGCTATGCATCTATCTACGGTGAATTACCAGAATTCACAATGGAAATCGATCAGACTCCATTTGAATCAATGCCGCAATCAGAGAAAACCTGGAAGACAATATTCAGCGGTCCATCTCACAGTCTTCCTCCCCTGCCCAAGTTGTGTTCGGACTTTCTTGAATCATTGCTGGAGAGAAGATCTACAGTCGTGGAATGAGCTGTTCAAAGTTTGACCCTGTTTGACTTTTCCGGTGGTAATATAATATACACCAAATGGAAGGGGAATTAGCTTACAAGTGACTGAGATTCTGATATATATAGCTCCACCAAATGAAATTTTGCTCATCATATATTAAGTGTATTTTTATTTAAATTTTTTTTTAGAAAACATGCCTATCGACCTTTTACGATGCTGTAGAGTGATTGTTTTGTTGTATAACGAGGATCCAAGTAGATGATGATTGATGATCAAAGATTTAGTGAATGGTTTCCATAATCTACAGTTTTTTCAGTTTTCATATTGAAACTAGTGAAACTACTCATCAAATTAAGTACTACAGATTACAGACATTTAAAACGGTGCCGTTTAAATGAAACAAGGCCCTAAGCCCATTTAAAATGTGAAGCATTATTTAATTCGTCTATCTTTTGGGCCCATCTCCTTCAATACTGCATGGCAGAGCTAATTAAATGCCTTTCTATAAAAAATTCTGGATAACATCAGCGATGTGGAAAAAGAGGACTGGATTGAAAATCTAAAGCCGTGTTCGGGGATTCCTTAGCAATTCCGAGAAAAATTATACATTAGAATCGAAATTCCGGCCCGGTGTATGTTCATCCTTCCCTCTGTTTTCGTTACAGCTTTACCCCTTTTCACATTATAGTGTGTGTATTGCAGGGATATTTTTTCAGCCTTGCTTATCCACTTACAATCGGTTTTCTCATATCACACTTTGAGGAAAGATAATTCTTGAATTTTGTCTAATACAAAACCAGGGTTTTTCATATTGTTATGGCAATTCTGTTACACTCATCGTTTCCGGTGAGAAACCCATCACCGCAGCTCGCCGGAAAATCCTCCGGCCTACTCGCGCACGCGCCGAAGTCCCAATCTTTCCCACTCAACACCACTAACTTCTCCCAAGTCCTCTCCTCAACCCAGAAACCCCTTCCCCCAAAAGACAGCATCTTTACCCTACCCAACTGGAGATCCGGCAGAACCGACCCGAGAAGCAGGGAAGTCAAGATAAACGACGCTTTCCTCTACCTGGAGTACATGGTGGGCAAAGGCCACAAGCCCGATGTGGCCAGCGCCACCCAGCTAATGTACGATCTCTGCAAATCCAACAAACTCAGAAAAGCCACTAGGGTTATGGAGATGGTGGTCAAAGCTAGCACCATCCCGGATGCTGCCTCCTACACTTTCTTGGTCAACCATTTATGCCGCCGGGGAAACGTCGGCCACGCAATGCAGCTAGTCGAAACAATGGAGGAGTACGGCTACCCGACGAACACCCTCACCTACAATTCCCTAGTTAGAGGCCTCTGTATGCGCGGCAACTTGAACAAGAGCCTCCAGTTCGTCGAAAAATTGATGCAGAAGGGCCTCATCCCGAACGCGTTCACCTATTCGATCCTCCTCGAAGCCGCGTACAAAGAAAAAGGAGTCGACGAAGCCATGAAATTGTTGGATGATATGATAGCCAAGGGCGCGAAGCCCAATCTAGTGAGCCACAACGTGATCTTGACCGGTTTGTGCAAGGAGAATCGGACCGAAGAGGCGGTGCAGCTCTTTAGGGACTTGCCCGCAAAGGGTTTCAATCCGAACGTTGTGAGCTACAATATCTTGTTGAGGAGTTTGTGCTACGAGGGCCGTTGGGATGAAGCGAACGAGCTTCTCTCGGAAATGGTGGGCGAAGAGCGGGCCCCGTCTATAGTGACGTATAATATATTGATTGGCTCGTTGGCTCTAAAGGGTCGAACGGATCAAGCTCTCGAGGTATTGGACGAGTTGTTCCGCGAGGGCCGGTTCAAGCCAGATGCCGCGAGCTACAATCCGGTGCTCGCTCGTCTATGCAAAGAACGAAAAATCGATGATGTCATCATGTGTCTTGACCAAATGAGCTTTCGGAATTGCTTGCCTAATGAGGGGACGTATAACGCTATTGCGGTGTTGTGCGATGACGGGGCGATGGTTGAGGAGGCATTTTCAATCATTAAGAATCTGAGGAACAAGAATGAATCCTCGTTCCACGATTTCTACAGAAACGTGATCACTAGTTTGTGCAGGAAGGGCAATACGTACGCGGCTTTTCGTTTGTTGTACCAGATGACTTCGTGCGGGTTCACGCCTGATTCGTACACTTACTCGTCTTTGATAAGGGGTTTGTGTTTGGAGAGGATGCTGGGGCCCGCAATGGATGTTTTTCGGGCTATGGAGGAGAACGGGTTTAGGCCCGATGTGGATAACTACAACGCCCTTGTGCTTGGCCTGTGTAAATGTGGGAGGACGGATTTGTCATTTGAGGTTTACGAGATGATGGTGGAGAAGGGGCATATGCCTAACGAGACTACATATACTATATTGGTTGAAGGGATGATTTACGAGCAAGAGAAGGAGATGGCGGTGGGTTTGTTGAGCGAGCTTCACGTTAGACGTGTTGTGAGTAGAAGTACGGTGGAGAGACTTACTATGCAATACGATCTTGAAACTCCGTTGGTGCATGTATAGTGTGGGATATTTACAAGGGTTGTGCAAAGAATAGGACAATTGATTTGTGCGAGTATTGTTATACATTTGATAGAATGTGATTTGTAATAAACTTGGGATTTAGGCTTGGAGGGGCTATTTTTTGTTTGGGAGGAGAATCTTCAAATTCTAGTGGGAATAATAATTCTTGATGCTTTTACCTTACGAATGTTTCAACCGAATTCTACACTCTTTTCTACACTCTCTTAATACGAACACCCGAATTCTACACTCTTTTTAATACAAACACGAACACGTTATTTCTCTTCGGTTGTTGTGAACATGAAACATCTATAAATTTATACATGTGTATAGAACAAGCCAAAGTTGAACAAACATGATGATGCGTTAAACGAAACCTAAGTGTTATTGCATAGTAAGCATATACTACGAATATACTCAAAAGGCTAGCAATTCATCAAAACGATTGTTATAGTTATATTATAACCAAATACGAAGATCCAAAAAGGAGTAAATTGTCATAGATGCTTCCAATTAAAACCGAAAAAAAAAGAAGCCAAAATTCTGTAAAACAACCTAAATTCAAACAAGAAACCAAGTTCCTAAATAGAAACATGACAAGCAAAAAAGACAATCTCCCATTAACGAACGAATTTGCTTCAATTAATCCCTTGCATGCAGAGGAGTAAAAGAAGCTGGTTCGTGCGCACGAGAGGCATCTCCATAGACTTTGTGCATTTCTCTACTTAGATCTTTGTCTCATCTTTCGGCGCTTCCTCTTCAACCTCCTCATGCGCTTCTTCTTCCACTGCAAAACGCACAATATATTATTAGCTATAAAACTCATGATATGTAAAGCACATATTAACAGAAGACTACGAAACAATCCTACTTATAATAATCAAACTATTACTGCAATTTTTACCCCTTCAACGGAATAGAAAATACAGCGTAAAATTATCATAACCGGATATTTTTACAGTGCACCATAGGGCTTCAAAATTTTATCATTTTTTTTCAATTCAAAAGAGAAGTTCTCGTTTTCATTCTTTTGCAACTTCAAATGGAACTCAACATACATCGTATTATCAAATCAAAATATTTTCGATAAGAGTTCGTTCATTTCTTCTCAAATCGGCTAATGAAATGTGCCATTTACAATAAGCAGGCGATTTTAGGGTTCATCAAAGCTATGAACATGAAGCATATTTTTTTCCCTCAAACATTTCAAAATTCCAGCTTTTGTCACAGACCAAACCACAATAATGAAAATAAATAAAAAATAAATAAAATAAACAAATCACTTGAAACACAAAGGAAAATAAATGGAACACAGCTAAAGGAAACAGATCAACAGAAAATTCCGAATCTCAACAATTGGGAGCAAACGTAAGAAACGTGAAAATCAACAATTAGAAACAAAAAAATCAAATAGATCGCGGACGAAACGATTCAACATAATAATGAATATGAGAAACAAAATTCAAAATCAATAAACGGAAAAGCAAAAAAAAAATGAGCACTTGCCTTCGCCCTCATGTTCGCCGGCTAGGTAAACTTCACTTGTTCTCCCAAACTCACTGTCGATCCGTACAGCAGTCGCCGAAATCTCCGCCGGAGGCGCACTAGTCAGTGGTGAACGAGGAGCGTCTCGTCAATTTATAAGGGGACGCGAAAACCCTAATTGCGAATGGATTCGGGTCCGGATCTTCGTACCCGGATAATGTTATTGGGTCATTGGGCCGAAAATCACCCGGTTAATACCTACTACACTTATAGCAATAGGCCCATTGGACATTTTGTATGTTCTTTAATTTTTGGGCCCTTTTTTTTTTTTTTTTTTTTTTACTACTTGAGAAATAAATAATTTATATAGTAAAATAGTAAATGGGATTTAAATTAATGTACGAGAGGTTGATTAATGATTACCAAATACTTTGGAACTAATATTAGTATACATTAGCCGTACTAAATAACCAGCAACGCAATATTAGTATATGATTTGATATAAATATTTATTGATTTAAAAGATTTGGGCAACTCAGTTGTAAATTAATCATCTTGTTCATACACACAAACATGACACAATCACACTTATAAAAACATAGACGTGTTGGTTTGTCCCAATATAGAGTACATATTTGGAGCATAATTAATACTCTATGAAATCAGAAACCATTATCTGAAGTTGAAACATATAATTTTTATTTATTTATTTAATGTTATGGGGGGGAAAATATGATTTGTAAAACATCAAAATCCGATTCTCCGATATTTCGAACCTTCACCAACGCATCCAACTTCCAAATCTCCTAACTATAAATACCGTATAAGTAAGATGCAATTAATTCACTCGTAAGGAAAACCATTGTATATTATACACCATTTGTTATTTCTTAATATTTTTTCAAGCAACTTTAGTTTCGTTATCAAGAAACCATGGCAATTTGAGGCATTAAGAACACGTGTGTTTTTGTTATCGTATTGATAGCAATCTTGCTAATGGCATCCACCGGAAACTCTTATTATCCGGTACGCCACCTCTTGCAGGTAAATGAAACAGTGAGCGTTGAGATCTCGGAAAATGGGACGGTGATCGAGGAACACCATTGATAGGTTCCTAAATCTATATTTCGGGTTTCCGAGTGGTTAATTTTTCAATAAGTATGTTTGTGTGTGTGTGTGTGTTTGTTTGGAATTGATGAATTTGTTTGTTCTTTAATTTGCTTCCTGTAAGGGTGTCTTGTGTATGTTGTGAATTTTACATATGTAATGTTGTTTTGTGGATCTTTGTTGTTCTATTGTTTAATTGTTTTCATTTATTTTTGTATTTATATAATATAAACTTAATAAATATAATGTCGTGTCAAGTATATAAATAGGATTTGCATAAAACCAAAAAGCATCATGACTATCAAATAGAAAAATAAGTTTATTATATTATATATATTAAAAACATCAAACTCAATTGGGCTTGATTTTAAGTCACTCATACCATAATCCCATACAATATGCACATGTATTAATTAATGTCAATAATACTCATCGTTATTACACTAATATGCGAGTTCTTCATTAACAAAAAAAAAACTAAAATAATATAGAAAAAAGTTGATGCATTTCCAATTATTTCAGAATTGCCATTCCCAGTTTTCCATTATGAATTAATTTTTGGACTGCATTTCCCAAATTCACCCACTAGAGGCTCCAAAAGCTTGAGTTGGTGCAGTCGTTTTTAAATTTAAATAGGAATCACAGTTTTTGCAGTCATCGGCCCATCACCCTATGGCCCTTTAATTTTTATTTTTATTATTTTTAATATTTTATTCAGATCTTAACGGATAAGCATGAATCTCGATGTTAATTACTTTTTACAATCCTTTTTTGGCCCCTACTTTTATTTTATTTCACTTTTTACCCCCTGTCCCAATAAAAAACAAAGATGCTTCAAAGAACTATCCCAAAAAAATAAATCTCCCGCTGCCCGTCACGTCATCCAAACTTTGACCAGGTGTGTACGTGTCAATACCCTATTGGATTCCATCAAGGACCCTACTGTACTATTGCTGCTATTTATATGTACCCTATACTATTCCCACTGGGGCACCACCCACAACTTCTCCACTACAAACAACACACAGTAGTACTATTCACAAGCTCACCCCCACCCACCCCCAAACCCTAGCTAACCACAAACTACTCCCATATTTGACATTTTTCCCCCTAATCCTCTGAATTTACTAGCTGCTGCTTGTTTGGCGTTTTCCGTTGGTGTGGTTTGATTTGGTTGCGCATCGTTTTCTAAGCTCTGTAATTTCTGAGAGATTTTTCGTTTTTTTTTTTGCGGCGGTTTTTAAGTATACGGAGGAGTTGCATGATAGCCGGAGATGGCGTCGGCATGCGTGAACAACATCGGAATGTCGTCTGAGAAGTTCCTCGACTGTCCTCCGGCGAAGTTTCCGTCGTACGGCTGGCTGAGCCCTAGAATATCGTTCAGCCGTGAGTTTCCCGACGATGACGTGTCGAAAGGCCTCGCGAGTAAGCCTCCGACGAAGAATCAACCGCCGCCGAGCAATGCGGCTGCGGAGAAGCCGGATGAACCAGATCTAGAAAGCTCCGGCAACGATTTCGTGGATTTCGAGTTCCGCCTCGTCGATCCGGTGATGATGCTCCCCGCCGATGAGCTATTCGCCAACGGAAAGCTCGTGCCGTTGCATCTCTCCAACATCCGGCACTCAATGTCATCAGCTCCGGCGTTGTCTGACGTCAGATTCCCGGACACGCCTAAATTCCGTCGTCGGAATGAGGTTTCCCCGATGGATCCATATTTGTTCTCTCCGAAGGCGCCGAGATGCTCGAGCCGATGGAAGGAGCTCCTAGGGTTGAAGAAGCTGTATCAGAGCAGCAACGCCAAGCAAGAGGATCACAAAACGGCGTCGTCGTTACCCACCCACAGCGAAGCCAACAAAAAGGCAGTGAGAAGCTTGAAACACTTGATTCAACGCAGTTCCAAATCCTCACTAAACACGTCGTCGATCGATTCATCTCTCAATCTTCCATTGCTAAAGGATTCAGATAGCGAGTCAGTGTCGATTTCCTCTCGACTTTCTCTCTCATCATCTTCCTCCGGCCACGAGCACGACGATATTCCCCGGCTCTCCCTGGATTCCGATAAGCCAAGTTCTATTACCACCACCCGCAATACTCACCACCACACCGCCAGAAATATTTCCAGAGCTCGAGTACTAGTCAAGCACAGGACGGCTCTCTCGTCGGAAAACCCTACCGTACCGACACGAGTCGGCCGGAGTCCGTTGAAAAGAGCGCCGGAATCCTCAGCTCCGGTTCGCGGCGTTTCAGTAGACAGTCCTCGGATGAATTCGTACGGACAAATCGTGTTCCATAGCTTAGAGAGAAGTTCGAGTAGTCCGAGCACCTTCAACGGAGGCCCAAGGCATAAGCAACGTGGAATGGAGAGATCTTATTCTGCTAACGTACGCATCACTCCGGTTCTCAACGTTCCGGTTTGTTCACTCCGCGGTTCATCGAAATCCGGAGTTTTTGGTTTTCCTCTGTTTTATTCCCAGCAGAAGAAAGAAACCGGCGGTACCACAATTAACGGTCTAAACAAAAATCATCAGCATCATCACAGCAAGAACCGCACAGATCGAACTTGAGAGAGCTGCTTTCGTGTTTTTTTTGTTTGGTGGTAATACACTTAACCTACCGCTTTTTTCCTTCACAAATAACTTGGATTTCAGCGTTTCGTTTTTTCCTCTCTCAAGGTGTTGTTTCTACTGTGGTGGTGTTTGAGTTTGACTCGTTAGCTGTTTTTTTTTTTTTTTTTACTTGACAATTTTTTTAGATTTACTACTGTTCTGTACATAAGCAATGAATCGAATATCCTTTCGTTTTTCCATTCATCACAAATTGAGTTGTTATCCTTTCTTCCTATTACCTAATTCTAGATATTCTCCAATTTTATAACGAGATTCGTTAAACTGCTTTTGTTTACTTGCCGGAAAGTTGTTTGTGTATGGAATCTCCGTTTCCACTTTTTCATAAAGTTCATAGAGTTGTCGATTATAATAGAATAGATATTAGGCATGTGAGATGTGACTGTCATAGCATTTAGCGTTTGTTGAACACGCGCCCCCAATTCGCGATTGGTTTTGCTCCAATAATAACTCTCATAAGCAACAGAACTTCGAGCGTAACGTAACATGAGAGATATATGACATGCGCTGCGTGCTCTTACCTGTACGCATTCACTGTTGCATTGGTGGTACTCACTCTTTTTTTCTATTTTTATTTTTTATTTTTTATTTTTTGTTATTCAATTATTGAGTTATTTAATTATTTAATTAATGAATTTATGAAATGATTGCCAGGTTTTTAAAAGCATAAATTACATATTCAGTGTCTTCCAGCTTTCATGTTCAGCTGTGCCTCTGCCTTTTTTTGTTTGCTCTCTATTTAATTTATTTATTTTCCTCTGTCCCATCATTCTGATTCCATGTTCCAGCTCTATTAATTATAAATAAAATAAGAACAGTAAATTAATTTCATTTTTTTTGCTCCAGAGCCCCTGAACTTTGTCATAACTCTTCCCCCCAGTCAGAAGACCATAAATTTTGTCCATTAGCTACCATTTGAAGGAAAGAAAAAAAAACATAAATATGGATGCCACGTCATTAAATTAATTGAGAAGCTTGCTTTTTTGTATTAATAAGAATCAATTTGTGGTGTAAAAGAAATAACACTGGATTTTGTTTCTCCATACTGACTAGATCTTTGCATTCAATTGCACTTGATCTCCCTGAAAAGATAAATAACTTTATCAAAAATTAAAGAGTAAAAAGCAGTTTGCCTCCTAAACTATGGGCCGATTTGCACTTTACCCCCCAAACAAAAAAAATTTGCACGTTTTTACCTAAACTCGTTAATTCGTTGCACGGTGCCCCCTAAACTCAATTTTCCGGCAATTTTGACCGGAAAGTGAAAACATGTGCCTTGCACGTGAGATTTGGAGGGGTAAATTTGTCCCTTCACTTGCATCTTTAATATTAAATACAAATAAATATTTAAAAAGAAAAAAAAAAGAAAAACATCACCCACCTCCATCCCCAAAAGTCAAAACCCACGAAACCATCACCCACCTTCCTTCCTAAAACCCAACCATGTCTGCACAAAAAAATCTCAAACAATAATTTAAAAAAATTCCAAAATTTTCCGACGACCACCACTCCTCCTCCTTTCAAGGGTGTTACGAAGAATCAGATTCTGGAGAGAGACCCAAAATTTCGTATCAAATATTGAAATCAAACAAAACCAACAAAAAGGTAGATTATTGATGTGGGTTTTCTCATTACTTGAAGAAAACTCACAGAAAACCCATAAACAAATGTCGATTTGTCCAAGTTAGAATATCTCTTCATGATTTGGTTCAACACCGCTGCTTGGGAAAGCTTGTTTGATTTTTTTATCGCCATTTTTTTTTAGATTGGTTGCGAATTTCTTAAAACCGGGCAGAAATTAAAGGACTGTGATGAAGGGGGAGGATCGGTCGAGGAAATGTGAAAACGGGGTGGTGGTGGAGACGAGGAGAGAGAGAGAGAGAGAGAGAGAGAGAGAGAGAGAGAGAGAGAGAGAGAGAGGAAGAAGAAGGGGCCAAATTCCATATTCAACTTTTTGATTTGGTTTTCTCCATTAATGAACATTGGAGAAAATTTGTTCAGAAAAATAAAAGAAGGGCACAACACGAAGAAGAGAGGAGACGAAAATTTTCTCCGCTTACTGCTCACCCTCACCACACAGACGTTCTCCACTTCTCCATCTCATCGATCTTCATCCCATATTCCCCAGCTTCTTTTTCTTTTCTGTTTTTCTTTTTTTTTTCTTTTTAAATATTTATTTGTATTTAATATTAAAGATGCAAGTGAAGGGACAAATTTACCCCTCCAAATCTCACGTGCAAGGCACATGTTTTCACTTTCCGGTCAAAATTGCCGGAAAATTGAGTTTAGGGGGCACCGTGCAACGAATTAACGAGTTTAGGTAAAAACGTGCAAATTTTTTTTGTTTGGGGGGTAAAGTGCAAATCGGCCCATAGTTTAGGAGGCAAACTGCTTTTTACTCAAAATTAAATTATACTGATACTTTTGAGTCTTTTTTACCCTACTGGTTTATAGAGTGACGTGGCCATGTGGGGTTGGCCAGAAAAATATACTATTATATATATATATATAATATATATATATATATATACTCAAACCCCCCCCCCCCCCCCATCCTTTACCAGGTAGATACATTTTAAGCCCAAAATACAGGTCCATGAATGTATGAGGCAGGGAAGAAGCGCAATATCTCTTTCAAAAGGACTTGTCATCGAATTCACTTGTCATTTTCACACCCCTACCCCTAAGACCCACCCCTAATAAACTAATATATACATAAATACACACACATGTATCTATATAGTCAAGCTAGATATATGCTAAGTACACATACTTAGTGGATGTATTTTGATTTTTAATTATAGATTTACACATAATTACACATAAACACTCGTGTGTATCAGTGTATGCACCATTCATAGATGTTTATTTAATCAAATTTAGGGTTAAAATTAACTTAATGTAAATAAATAGATTTGGGATCTAACTCGATTGCTGGTTTGATTTGGACCACGTATAACCCAATTTATTAAAATTAGAGTACATAAAAACTTGCGCAAGTATGTATGTTTTTCTATTGTTAATATTAATTTACACCCTCTAGTGCGTGTGTGTATATACTATATATGTAAATATATGGGTAGTTGTGAAATTATTGGGAGGGGGGTTTTAATTTCAAACTTCAAACTCATTGCATTGACCGTCAACGCTCGACTGTGAAATTTTTCTGTTAATTGTAGTGAATCTCTACTATAGCCTGTTGTGATATTTTTATTTAATAATAAATAAATATTTTGGTAGGGTGTGGTGATGATTTTGAATGATGAGATTGTTTGACCGGTGGTCTAATGTAAAGTTCGTCGGGACTTTACCGTACTAAACCTTTGTTTTTATGATGTGTGCACAATGGGTCTTTTCTTGGACAAATAATATGCCATTCATCTCACTTTTCCATGTCTTGTCTTTTCTCTACAGACCTCCACCACTCTAATTTTCCATTCAAGGGAGCAGCTTGGTAAAAGATGTGTGTATATGTGTTTTAACCAACCCAATTTACCAATGTGAGTATATATATATATATATTTGTTTTATCATAATATTACTTCCTAGTTATTACACCGAAAAGACGGTTTATGAGATCCTACGCCTGATGAAAATACGACATATAGTTTTAATCTGTAGATTTACATAAATAAAAGTAAATGCAGTACTATATTTCATTAGGTGCGTGTTTTGCGAAACCCCCGGTTGCAATCGAATTGATCAATTGAGTCAAAATTAGTAGATTACATTTATTGTGAATGAAATTTAATGACATTTTCAATCTTACAACACATAATTGTTTGTCATAGAGGAATTTGATATTGGATTATTCATCAATGGTCCAACATTTTCTCTTTCTCTTTTGCATCACTTGGGCCTCGTTTGGTTGGATATATTAACTGAATAATTAAATTTTATTTGATATTTGTTATTCCCAATAAGTTATTGGGTGGACCCAGAAATATTATATTGATGCATCATCTTACCTTCTAGTTATGTTTTTATTGAATAATCACAGTCTGCAATAATATAACTTTTCCAATCTTATGTTGACTAATCTTATCTTGTCAACCAAATAAAAATTTATAATATTAATCTTAACAGAAAGAGAGATGAAGCACATGATTAGTCACACTTTGATTAATTTGGAATGTTTTCTTGAACATTATTATAATTGCATGTTGATTGAATTAGCGTTGAAGAGGGGCATATTGTACATTATTCACCATGTTGACATGCTGCTGTTGCTACTCTCTCTTGCAAAACGCCAAAGTTACTGCTACATTTTCATATAATTGTGCTAATTAAGCAAATTAATTATTAATTAACAAGTATTTGTACTGTGTAGTACTTTCTTCTAATTACTTATATATATATAATGTATGGTAGGGGATTTACTGGTTTGAAATTCCTGTTATACTAAATTACATGTTGGATTTTTTTTCTTGGAACCTGCAATTTTATTTTCCCCCCCTCCATCTGCCACCAATACCGCCAATTAATGTAAATCAACAACAATTTGCCAACAGTCTAGAGAGAGAAACAGAGAGATCTGGCTAGAGAGAGAGAGAGGTGTATATATAAATATATATAACCGTTGGGACATGTTCTTGTGAAGCATGAGGCAGCCTTAATTTTAGCGTTCTGCAAATTGTTTATTTGCCAAGTACAGTGAATTGTCCCTGGCCCTTCGTATGTATCAAACCACCATGCCTACATTGTATTATTTTATACACACACATATATATATATACATGCATGTTTGATGTACGTATAAATATATTTATATATATATATATATGTGTGTACAGAATATACGAAAAGATACGGATCCTGGAATCCGGGCATGGGGTAAAATAAAACGTGGTGATGATGAACTGTCGGTTCTCTGTTCAAGATTCCCAATTACCCATCATATATCAGTGCTACTACTACTGCTAATTGTTTTTCGTCTTCTTCTATTCTATCTCTTTCTTTCATTTTCTTTTCCCTGTACTCTGTACAAATACATGGCGGGCTAAATATTAGGTGGTGTTGGTTTTGAAATTTCAATGAAAAATATATATTTTTTATTTCAACTATATAATATATATACCTTAATATTTAGTGTAAATTCCACTTTCTCCCCTTATATTTTGGCTTAATATCACTTTACCCCCTTCTACGCTCGATTGCATTAATTTAGCCCTTGTACTTGAAATATTGTTTCAATGTGGCCATCCACGTTAGTTTTCAGTTCTTCGAACTTAACACTGTTTGATTCATGTCTGAAAATTACAAAAAAATCATCCCCCAATTTAAATAATTATTATTTGAAAAAAAAAAAATTGGATTAAAAATTCATTCGTGAAATAATTTAAATTATTTTTCAGATTCTTCTTTTTTTGAAGTCCTAAATCATTAGTTCAAATGCAAACCACATAAATATATACTTGTTTTCTTGCTTAAAGTATATTATGTCAATGCAAAGTCTTGGCATTAATTTAAAAAATAAAGCTATTTCTCTTTTTGGTTTTCATCAGCATCCTCATCAACTTGTTAAACGAGGAAGCTTTTTTGTCCAATTGTTACCTCTGTCGGCCGTAGATAGACAAACATCTTTAAAACCACGGGGCTTCAACCATTTCACAATCAAATTTTTTGCAATATAAAAATAAATTAAATTAAAAAATATTATGACAACAAAAGTAATACAAATTCCAATAAACACCAGAAAACAATACCAGTAAGCGGCATATGGGGAATTCGCAAGTATATGAAGCAAACATCGACATTGCATATTATTTTAATAAATCAATCAAATAAAATAAAAGTTGTATTTATTGCAGAAAACAAATTAAAGGCTGTGATTTTTATGTATTTGTTTTCACCGCGCAGAATCAAACCATTATTCAATTTGTAAATGATTAAAAAATAAATAAAAACCCTGACGTAGTGGTTTTGGGCCTTTTGGCATATTCGAAAGGGGGGCCTGCAGCATAGCCCACATATTTAATTAATTAATTAATTAGAGAATATAAATTATTGTCTCCTCCATTAATTATCTTTATTGGGAAAGGTCATGTGACTATATTAGCACATATAATTTTTATTTTATTTATTTTTGAGAAATTCAGATCCTTTTACAAACTGTGAAAATTTGATCCAAGTATATGCTGGGTACTAACTCTTCTAACATTGGTTGGTGTAATTTTAATTTCGATTGAGAGATTTGAAATTTGAAGTTTTTAATTCCGAGAGTGTATACCGCATCATACATTTAACAAAATAATATGTTCAAACTTAATTTGTTACATCAAAAAATTGAATTATTGAGTAAAGTTTTGTTTGGATGGATGATTAGAAGTTCTTTTGTAAAGTGAATGGGCGGGGCGGTACAGTTTTTGTTTTGGTTACTCTTTCCCACTGAAAAGAATCACGTGATCCTTTTTTCATTCCAAATATAGTATTCCGTCCTCAATTCCTTTGTTCCCCGCCAACTCTTTAAAACATTTAAATAATTCATGAAAGGCCAATTTGCAGTTCGCCCCCTAAAAAAATATCGCCTTTGCTTGTACGGTATTTTATGGCAATTGGGCCCCTGAAATTATCTCCACCGTGCATTTTGCCCCCTAGATATTTTATCTATGAATATGATCCCCCAATTTTATAGTATTTGCTATCTTGTCACTTATTACTTAACATTATTCAGACTATATTACAGCTAAATACCTTTTCTTCCTCGTATGTCAAAAGATTTTCATGTTCCATTGTAGTAACACTAGGCTGAAAAGCAAATAAAACTATTAAATACTCGATATGAGATGGTTTGTTCAAATTTCATTTGAATTAAACTCGACATGATTAGAAAAACAATAACATATGTGAAAAAAAAACAAGTTACTATGTGTGCAACTCTTTTTTTTTTTTTTTTTTTTTTGATAATAATGCAGGAACCCGCAGCCAACCATATAGGTGCACTGGGTAAACCTACACTCTCGTATAATAGCTTGCAAACCATACGAGAGATTTAAACCACACTAGGCTAACCATGTGTGACAAGCTCGACCTAGCGACCGTTGTCAAGGAGATTCGAACTTGGGTCAATTGACCCAAGCTCCCTTGCTTCCAACCGCTAGGCCACCCTTGCGGGTTGCAACTCTCTTTCTCTACATATATAGTTAGTTAATTAGTAAAGTCGATATATATAAACCTATACTCTCGTAAAGCAAGATGCAGTTTTAATACGCAAGAGATGTAGTATATGGTATTTGTCACAAACTCAGCTAATTATCCTTTTCAACGCATAAAAACGTACCCTACATATTATTATCCTTTTATTTCATTTTATTACTATATAATTATTTGTGAGCTGTGACTGTATTTTGGATACTAATGGACATAAATAAAAATGCTACTGCTAGCGATTTTGCACACTCTCGTTATCTACTATCTGTACAGTAGCTGTCTAAACATTTCTGTCATTTTTTTCTATCTTTTTGTTAGACTTGTCTTCAATTGAGTTAAAGTTCAATTATTTTGTCCAAAATTTAATTGAATTAGTAGGCTATTATTATTTTTTGATTATGGACTATAGTTTAATTTTTATGATGCATAAATAAATGCTCTCCAATCTTTGCCAGCAAGTGGTAATCTACGATCCAACGGTTGGGACGAATTTAAGATTCTCCAACGTCTTGATTCGTTCGTAGTTTCTGAATCTGACCAACCGCAGCTTTTCGGATAATGTAATTTACTACGTACTGCCGCTGGAGTCAGTCAGTCGGTCAATCTATTGGATCTATATTGTGCCAGCTGGCCTGTTGCCGTAGCGTTTACGCCGCCGTGGCGCATGCACGTGACTCGTCGGAGTGGCCGGAGACGGCAAATCACGGTGGCCGGTGGCGCTAGGTACGTGAGACTAATTATTGGCTGTCGCACCGGTGGGAGATTTTTTGACAGCTACGTTGATTTGATTGATCCTCTGTCAAGTGGTAGGCGATATATATTATTTTTATTTATGTTTGTTTTTAATGTTTTTTTTAATGAATTATGCTCTAATTTTCTAATATAAATTGAATCCATTTTACGTGCTCTTGGGCAATTCAAATCCCAACTTGCGAATTTTTGTTGGTGGTAAATGTAATATACATAATAAAAACTTTGAAAATTACAGTTTTATCCCTCAATTTTGCACTAGTTTCACATTTGGTTCCTCATGGTTCAATATACTTTTGATCATTTTCGTCAATTAACATTAGTTCATCAGACTGATTGGTACACACTTGATTCCACTAGTTTTAACGAAAAAATGATAGGAACAACCGAAATTGTTGAATTTTGAAATACGAGAAACCAAATATGTCTATATTTTAACATGGGGCCCAAATATAAAAAAATGTTTAGTTGTGGCATGTGTTCAATCCAACGAGATCTTGGGTGAATAAATAGTCCACAAGACCAATCCAATTTATTATGTTTGGGCTTGGGTGAAATTGATTCAAAAAGCCCAATAAGGAAGAAATAAAATTTATTATGTTTGGGTTTGGGTTCCGAGGACACACAGCACAATTTTTGTGTTCCACTAGAGTGACGATAGCGTAGGCAGCCGGTGGTTAAAGGCGCTCCGGCATGGCTGATGACGGCGGCGGCGGCGGCGGTCGTAAACACTCGTGCAAGACAGCGAGTGAAACCCTAGAGTGGATCCATGCCATCATAGAATTCCTCAAGCCTTACAGATTCTTCATGGACGCACACGTCGTCAATTTCTTCAAGGCGATTCCCCTTGCATATTAAACGTAGAACAATTTTAATACGAATTGTGTTGCCTGAAGTGTGTATTGACGCGTGCGGATTTTTTTTTTTGATGAAATTTGACAGGACAAACTGTGGGAAGCTGTTGATAGAGAGTGGCTGGATTGTCTGCGGAAAGAGCGTGCGGAGAAACTACTGCACATTCCTTCCGGCGTGGCCCAGGTTTTCTTCTCTTCGCTTGATTTTGTTTTTTTCTCTCGTTTAGATCTTATGCTGTTAGTTCTAATTGTCTGCAGCTACTTTATAATTAAATGCACATATCGCAAATTTCATCATGTTCTGATTGTCTGCAGGTAGTTTATGATTTTTGTGCTTAATAATGCCTTACTTCTTGTACTAGATAATCAAGGGCTTTATTGGTTCGTATTTCTATTATGTCCGGCATGCAATCTGAAATAGACGGTTACGTAGAACTAACAAATATGCTCAGTTCATTGCTTAACTTTTTAGTAGTTGGAAATTATGTGATGGATTTTGAATTGTTGTGACACGAAAGAACAACGTAGCTTAACATTGTTATCACAGATTAACTAGTTCAAAGTTCAGTTAAGTCAAACTTAGATTTCATAGTTTGGTTCACGTGGTATCTTGTTTATCTATACCAATTGGTGAGTCCCAACCAGTCACTTCGCATATACAGAGTTTTCATTATGCAGGAGATAAAATCCGTCCATACGTAAATTTGATGTCAGTAGATAGGATCCTTATCTGCTTGAAAAAATGCACAAGACAAATTCACATGACTGGGCAATAAATATTTCTTTTTCTTCAGAAACCCTCTGGTTCATTACCTCTCTTGAGAGAGAATTTAATTCGAGGATGTGAAAGTAACTTGACACTTGCTGGCCTCTATCATTTATTGATTTTGATCAGTAAATACTATTCAAAGTTAGGTTACAGGGATTCAAATCAATAATTTTGTTGGATGCAATAAAAATATGTGGAGAAAATCTTTTATTCAGTAAAAACATGAGTGATTATTTGTCTGAGGAGTCAGTGTTCTACACCCTAATCTCTGAGCATAGATATGACAATTGAATTGATGTTTCTTGTCATTCCTTCATATGTTCTTCATGATTTATAGGCTTTGCTGAACACATGCACTTGTAGGTAAACAAACACATTTAAAGCATAATAGTGGTTACGTTTAACTATCTTTATTCATCATGTACATGACCATTTTCATTTGGAAATCACTCGGTTTTTACAATGACAGGATAATTGGCCTGATTCACTTAAAGAATATGTCCTGACATCTACGTCCCTTTCACTTCCCCGTGATCAGGCAGATCTGCTGGAGGTATTTTTTCCCTTAGCACCGTTCTATATGTTAATCGTACTTGGTATACCTGTACTTAAATAAATCCTTTCTGCATTAGTCAGGACAACTCCTTTTCGTTGAAAATGAATTCAAATTCTATTTCCTACATAAATTCAATATCACGATAAGAAAACTTGATACTGTTGTGGTTCGAGAACGCAGTAATTTTGTGGATGTGGCCAGTCAATTTACTGAGTAGATTGTATTGACTGAATATTCGCTAAGAACTTCGTGTTCGTAAGAAGCAATAAATTTTGAATTGAGTCTTCAACTTCAATCTGCAGGCTTTTCCAGGAGTGAGGACATCGCCATTGAATAATGTCCTTGTCCAAGGCATGAATCAGAAGAAAAAACATGAAGTACGCCATGGCCTATCCCACATTGTCTGCTCTTCATTTATTTCATTTTCTCACCAGAATAACATTCAGGATCTTATTATGAAGTACCTCAAGCAATTTTTATATAGACCTCAAGATTTGTTTAAGAAATGGTGGGTGATATGGCATTATAATGTATTCAATGTGTTAAATACTTTAGTAATGTATTTTGGTTAAAATATCTTTTGCTCCGGTGGATGGTGCTATCGGAATCAGGAAATTGGGTTCCAAATACTTGGGATCAGATAGGTCAGAGATGTAGTTGAACATTTAAATGTCATAAACTAGATTTTTAAAATATAGAAGTGAAGGCAATGTCTTTTACCTTTATCCTAGCAATTGAGATTGTTGAACTTGAAAAGCTAACCTACATGGTATTTGGTGTTCTCTGAGTAGATAGAAACTCTTGCTGCTGTTATTGGTTCCATTGCTAGGAGAACTGGGGCGCGGACTATTGTGGATGTTGGTTCTGGTCAGGTGTGATACTCTTACTTTCTGTTGCTCGTGACTGTCCTTCTCCTTTTGATAAATGTTGAATTATCTTCTCATTGCCTCGAGATGTGTGTTCTCTGCATTTATTTGAAATATAATACATTTTGTTATTTGAATAGAATATACGTGTACCCTAGCCTATGTTTAACGAGGAAAGATGTGATTATCATATGCGTTCATGCTACTTTGGTTGCTAAATCTTGCATGGTTTTGCAGGGCTACCTTGCTCAAGTTCTTTCTTTTGAATATGAACTCTCTGTAATAGCAGTTGATGCCTCTTCCCACCATGGGAGCATCACTGAGGCACGTGCCAAGCGAATTGAGAAACATTATGCAGCTAAGATACGCAAATCTAGGTATAGGTTAAGTTATTTGAATTACTATTTATTGGTCTGTCTTGAGCTTTTTCCACACGCATGCTCACTCTCACACTCTCAGCTAATTTCCAAACCTAACCTATTATTACCTTAAGTTTACCAACTAATCATATCAGTCTTCCGTCGCCAATATTAGACACACTGACACAATATCAGACCAACTAAACCTATCTTTGCGTCTAGTTCCGAACTGGCTTAGAAATTTTGTTGGATTTTTTTTTGTTTGTAATCTTCGATGATTGTCTTTGTTGTTTGAGCTTATATATCATGTGGATTCTTTCACCAGCTCAGAAAATAAAGTTTTCAGCATACCTAAAGCAGTCACATGCCAAGTGCTATCTCCTACCATGTTGGAAGATGTGAGCAGCTCTTTACTGCAAGCGAATGATTTAGAGAACCCAACTATTTCCAGAGAAAATAATGACGATACACCTCCTGAAGGACATAGAAGTGAATCTCCTTTTCCTTCGAAAGCAAATGAGAAGTCTTCATTGGTTTTGGCTGGACTTCATGCCTGTGGTGATCTTTCAGTGACAATGCTTAGGTGAGTCGCATTTTATTTATCTTTTGGATTAGTTAGAGTCTTGATTCTGTCGCATCAGTTGCGTATATCTTAAAATGTTTACTAAAAGTTCTATTTTATATTATTACTGTAACCTTTGTAGATCATTACCTTATATAAATTTTATAGAATGGTATTGGTCGATCTTAAAAAAATGCTGTTGACTATATTACAAAGCTGTTTTATTTGTTAGAGCTCATATTGAAGCTTTTTGTTTGTGATTTGCTTATCTCAGTGACTGATTTGAAGTTATTTATAACTAGGTCATTCCTGGAGTGTGATGCGGTTAAAGCAGTGGTTAGCATTGGTTGTTGTTATAACTTATTATCTGAAGACGGCAATAAAGAGGCTGATAATCAATGTGGTTTCCCACTAAGTGCAGGTGCTAAATCTGCAAGTTTATATCTAGGAAAAAATGCTCGGGATCTTGCCTGTCAGGTACGTTCATGTGTGGCATGATGCTGCAAGCCTCTTCCACTGGTATACATGCTAGTTTGAGTTCTGAGCAGGTACTGCATGTATTGCTTGAAATATTTCCAAAGGTCCAAAATATATTAAATGTAAATATAGCTTCTTTTTGTATTGCTGATTCATCACAGAAGATGGGAAATTTTATTTTTTAAACCAGAGTATCTCAATTTTTTTGCCGAAAAAATTCTGTTGGTTGTCCATTGTCGTATATCTACTGCTGAATCAACTAGTATTTTTCTTTATGGTTGATTTTGTATGCTTCTACTTTGATGCCTGTGCTACCCTGATTTGGTTGATACGTGGAATTTTTTTTGTTCGCCCTTTTATAATCTTGAGTTGATTTTCTATATTTCTTATTTCTGTTAAAATTTCTTCCATAAGTCTTCAATGAGTATGAATTATTTTGCTAACCTTGATTTTATTCTCAAGAGTGCAGAGAGATGGAGAAATTTGGGTGAAGCTGATGGCCTCCAAAATTTTGAACTTCATATATTTCGTGCTGCCTTTCAGATGGTACAGACCAGCAATTTTGTAGTCTTTCTGTCTGTGATCTATATTCGTGTAGTAGAGAGGAGTTGCATAATTGGATTGTTAACTTACAAAAAATAAGAAATCACCACTAGCTTTATTTTTATATAAAAGAAGTTCAAAGTAATCAATATGTTTATGCTTGAAGGTTCTTTGCCAGTACTACCCAGAAGTTATAACTAGAGGTACTACAATTGGGCGTCAAGGGAAGGCTTTGCGTCGCAAACACCATCGAAGGATACTGGAGTCTAATGGAGATATTAAGTCTGCTATTTCTGGCACCGAGTTTGCCCAAGGAGTGGAGAGTGGTATATTCCCTTTTGCCTATTTTCCCAGGCTCCATTTTGATTGATTGATTTGAAGTTAAGGGTGTCAAAATAACAAATCCTTTTGAGCCTGTTTGGTAGTAGCTTCTTGCAATAGACTTCAAATAATTGAGCTCCTATTATGAATTATGTTTTTAGTCATTGTGGTTAATTTCAAATCCTTCCATAAAATAAGCAAGCCTACAGTTTACAAAAAAGTAAAAGTAAGTTTTTGCTGTTACGTCATTTGACTCTCTTGGTGTGCTGTTGGAACGGAAGCTAGTTCACTAGTCACTCGTTACTATAGCACCTGCTCCTCTACCCCAACCCAAATCCCCAAATCCATATTTGTGGGCTACAGGACCAGCGCTCAATGATATACCTCCCTTTCTTTGCTGTGAGAAACAAGCCGCTCAGACAATAAAAACAATGAGATCGGAATCCAATAGAAGAAAAGAAAATATACTGTAGAAAGAAAGAAGAACTAGGATAAATTAATTGCTTTAGATGACGATTCAGGCCACCGTATGAGACATTATTTATTTATTATTTGTGAGTTATTAATATTTTTATTTTGTTGCTGGTTTTATTCTGCTTCACTGATGGTACTTTTGCAGGTTCAACCTGGGCTATAAATCCCTTGCTTAATGATCCTTCTACGTATCCAAAATCTTTGAATGGAAAGTCTAGTTCTGTTGATAGATATTCCGTGTTTGTGAATTACTGCAAGGCTGGATTAGGTCGGCTTGGTCTCCATGATTCACAGGATATTGAATTATTTAGTTTGTGGAAGGAAGCAGAAGAATATTCAGTAAGTTTGCCATTCTACAGTTGTATATTATATTCTTGTTTTATTTTAAAATTTGTTAGATTAAGTTTATATTTTCTCTGAATTTTCCCATAAACTATTCCTGCTGTATTTTTCCTGCTTTTATGTATTAATAATTGCATTGTTTCTGGAGTGAGAAGTGCGAGCTAAAATTTGTGACCTTTATTAGGCTGAATATAGTGCATGAAAGTCGTCGTCTTTTGCAACCATTTATTGGTTGTCAGTATACAATTTGTTTCTTTTGTGGGATAAGGGTTTAACAAGAGAAAAAGGGTTGAACGGATGGGATCAATTCGAGAAGAACCATCAGACTTATTAATGTTAGGTTTCCGAGAGATTATATTAACATAACAGCCTAAGGTAGTTGGCTGCAGTAATGAAACGAGTAGGTTTTTGATACTGTCAAATTTGTTTGCAATTTAAAATATTATTTCACTTTTGTTTTCCTTTTCCTTGTATATTAGACTTATAGGTTCTACCATAACTATCTTAAAGCAAATAGATGCACTAATGTACTGCAGGACCTTGTTGGGCCTTATTGGGCACTCCGGGCCGGTCTAGGACCTGTTTTGGAAACTCTCTTGCTGCTCGATAGGTTACTGTTTCTCCAGGAGCATGGCAATGTGCTTATTGAGGCAGTTATGCTACCTTTGTTCGACCCTCTATTATCTCCAAGAAATATGGCTTTAATTGCTGAAAAAGCCTGAAACAATTTCCAGACTACTAGAACGTGACAGGTAAAAAGCAACACGAGTGGACAAAGTTAATGTAGTGGTCTATAGACTCAAGTCACATGCAAAATTGCATACGTGGTGGCAAATTCAGTAGCACGTATATTACTTGAAATCTATGCTATTCTATTTATCGAAGTTTATTCTTACTGGTTCATTAATTTTCCAATAGTAGATGTGTGTGATTTTCTATGTAGTGACGTTTCAGGTGCTAAAGGTAGAAGAATATACCTTCCTTTTACAATGATATACATTAGCACTGTAGAACATACATGAACTAGTCTGTCTATTCAGACTGAAGAAACTTGTTAAAAGAGACTGAAAGGAGCCGATAATGTTGTATTTTGTGTGGATCCTTTATTCCGTGGATGTAATGTTGGACGGTTATAATCGATAAACTTGAAAGAGTCTCCGTTAAATTTTTTCGGCTAATATGAAGATATCAACTTCTTTCATTACTTCTGTATAACATGTACGGGACATTGTAAGATATTGCAGACCCTCGGATCTTTAAATGACCTTGGGAAATGGGACCAGCCAATGGTGTCGTCCTTACAGAGGTGGCATCGGTGAGACTTCATGTTATAAGTTCTTATTTCCTATGACCTACAAAACTGGCTTGGAATTGTTTCGTTTCAGTTTACTTTGGTATAGCAAGCAAGTTGATGTATGTTATTCTCATTAAGTTTCCTTTTCCATTTTATTTGAATATTCTTTCTAGTTTATCTTCTATATGTTATTTTTGGGAGATTGGGGGCCATAAGAAGGGGATAGAAAGTTGTTCACATTTAGTATTGGCCAACTATTGATGCTGATACTTATCGACCTTGATAAGGTTCTTTTCTTTATATGTAGTGACTAAGATGCTCGAGTTTTCCTACAGGATGACAAAGACAGTATTTTTTGTCTGGCATTTACTTCGCTACCTACCGGTCTCAGCGGAGCATCCGTAAATTATAAAGGTGAACATCTAAATCTATTAGAGTAAAAAAAGAAGTAAGAACAAGTCGGTGCTCTCTTTATTATTCAAATATTTGCTTTGCGTTTGGGGGCTCAAGTTAAATTTTTTCGTTAAAAATAATATTTACTTTGAGATTTCTTTAATTCTTAAAAAAACTTCGAGAATCCTTTTTCATTTTTTTTTTGTTTTTTTCTCTTCCAAATTTCCATATTCTCAGTTGGTTGTAAATTGGAAGACTTTAAGAAAAGTGGTTTCTACCTGATAACCTGAGAAGTTGCTATCACAGTAAAGTAGGATTGTTGAACTATTCAAAGTACTTAGACATAGGTACAAAATCATCTTGCCTTTTAGCAGCTGATAAGCTGTTGCTTTAGTACTCGGTCAAAATAAAACTTCCACTAATGCCAATTACATTTTGAAAGGTAGAATATGTGTCCTTTTCAGCATTGTTCTTGATGATAGTGTCCTAATTCTTATCAATATGATTATCTACTCATGTGGGTTTGCTAATTTTCTTGTCTAGATCTTTTTATGAGATAATTATTAGAGTAAAAACTCTCATTATTGGATTGCGTGAAATTTTAATTACTTTTCTCCAGGTTTGCATGTGTCTTGATGGTTTGGGGAGAAATTGAGAGTTTAAATCCATGGGTAAATTACGCAAATCCCCCTGAACTCAAGCTAAATTACGAAAAACATCCGTAATTATCAAAATCCAACTGATGTTTGTATTCGTCTTACACCGACCCTCTTATGATGTGATTGTTCAAATTCCAGGGAATATTTCCCAAAGAATGCCAAATTTACCCTTGTAGATGTGGTATTTCCTTATGTTACTTTTTAAGAAAAAAAAATACCCTAAGAGGAGCAGCGGCAACACTAAAAAATTGTGAAGGTGTTACTTAAAAAGAATAAACATTCCGTGTGTGTAGGACACTGTCTCAGCGCATGACTGCCGCAAGACGC